GTGGGAAGTTTGGGCCAAGAGGTCAGTCCAGAGGTCTGGGGTGCTAAGACATGAAATGTGCCAGTCCCTCTGCTAGGAGGAGAGGTGGGGTGGAGGAGCTGGGAGAGTTAATGAGGCTGGGGGAGTCAAGGTGCAGTGGGTGCAGCAGCCAAACTTACCCAGGTGAGCTACTGGCTCCAGGAAGCTGTTGATGTCATGGTATTTTATCACAGTCACAAAAGGTAACAAATACACATGCTCCAAGGCTCTACCCTAGATGCTGTCCAGTTGACAGCATTAACCATTGAACACGTCCACTTCACTGCTTTCTTGATGTTTTTATACATTTGGCAGCTTCTGTATCCTCAGCTTCCAAAAGCAGGTGTTGTCTGCTAGGATTAGAACCCCTGAACAGGCCTCTGGTAAATTCTAGCTCTCAGACTCTCAGCTCATGGTCAGCAGTTACTATTAAAGCTGTCAGGCCTACAGTGTCTGAGATCCTTGGCCCTTCAGCCTTCCCACTCTGGTAGTGACAAGGGCATAGACATTCTTCTCTGAGAACTTCACAGTCGTCCCTCTCGGCCTCAGCTCTCTGCTTTTTCTCACCTTCTTTCTACTGCCACCACCCAGCTTTGTGTGTATATTCACTGTGTCTGCACATTCCTTTCTACTGAAAAGAGCTACAGCCATTGGATCAAACAGCAATAGGTCTATCTCATTTATGGCTATTGATTTGTCTTAAATATAAAGAAGAAATATAGTAGCTTGGAACTCTGAAGGACACTAAGCATCTTTCAGTGATTCCTCTTATTCTCTGACATGAATATGTATCTTGCATGATGTGTATGTGTCAGTTCTTTCCCTCAATTCCTTACCATCTCAAAACAAAAGGCATAAAACAGGCTGGGGAGACAGATCAGCTGATAAAGTGCATGCCACAGAACTGAGAAAAACAGAGTTTGGAACTCCAGGGCCCAAGAAAATTGTTGGGTGGTTGTGGCAGCCTTCCTATAATTCCATCTTCAGAAGGTAGAGTCAGGAATTCCCAGAGCAGGCTGGTTACTTGTGAGCTCTGTGTTGATAGGGAGATGCTGCCCCAAACAATAAGGTGGATGATAATTCCCTGCATCAACCTTCAGTCTCCACATGCATGCATACAGGTGTGTATGTGTACCCACATACATGTAAAACATACATACACACAGATACCACATGCATATGAAAAATGGAAAAAGGAAAAAGAAACAGGGCAGAGGGCTTAGGCTCACCCAACTCCTCCTCCTTGTGTTTGTTAATGAATTTCTGCTGTTAAGACTCCAAGGAGGTGCTTAGTAATCTGGAGATAAGAAAAATGTCTGACCAGAGGATATTCCTGAGCAGTCCTTGAAACAGACATTTCACCTGAAAATGGTGGTTGTGGTTTGAATGTGAAATGTCCCCATAGGCCCACCTGTTTGAACACTTGGTCTTCAGCTGGTGATGCTGTTTGGGAAGGTTATGGAACCTTTAGGAAATGGAACCTCGCTGGATGAAGTGGGTCACTAGGGGCAGGCTTTGAAGCCCATCCCACTTCCTGTTCACTCTCTGCTTCTTATTCCACCAAGATGGAAGGAGATGAGGTGTCCCAGTTGCCCACTTCCTCCACCATGGAGCTGTCTGCCACCATGCCTGTCCCTCCAGGATGGACTGTAGCCCTTCAGACTGTGAGCCAGAATAAACCCTTCTCCCTTAAGTTGCTTCTTCTCAGGTACTTGGTCACAGCAGTTAGAAAGTACCTGACACAACCAGTCATTTGGCTTCTCTAATGACCTTTTTCTTATGTATCAACACCTCTGCCAGTTGGTACCAGCTTGACAACATTTACTCTCTTGTTCTTTTTCTATCTTAAAACCATCTGGGGGCTGGACAGATGGCCACAAGGTTAAGAACATTGGTTGCTCTTGCAGAGAACCAAGTCATTTATTTCCGAGTACCTATATGGCAGGTCACAGCCACCTGTATCTTCTGCTCCAGGGGATCCAATACCCTCTACTGGCTTCTCCTGGCACCTGCATGCATGTGTATATATCCACACACAGACAAAGATACACACAAATTCAATTTGACACATATCTGAATACTAAATAATATTTATTATTGGAAGGCTAAGTGAGCAATTAATAGTAAGTTTAGGTTCAGTTTTAAGGATGAAGGATGAGTGGTGGTAGCAATGATGGCAGTGAGCCATCCCAGCACCTCCTGCTTACTGTGCACCAGCCAAGCATTATTTTGCACTTGCTGTCTGTTTAGTCCTCATAAAAATCCTTTCAAGAACTATTGTGCTCAGTTGAATGTGGTGGCATCTACCAGTCATCCCAGCACTTGGAAAGCTGAAGCAGGAGGATAGCAAAATTTAAGTTATCATGGGCTACATAGTAAGACCCTTTTTCTTCCCCTCCCCACCACAAAGAACTATTATTCTCATTTCACAGGAAAGACAGAGATTTACAAAAGCCAAATTCCACCTAGAAACCAAGAAAATGCCACTGCTAAACCAAGAAAAATGTGGGGAAGAATATTGCTCCTGTAAACTTTTACTTTTTCATCAGTATCTTTGGACAGTGGTTTACTGAGCATGGAGCTTGTATTGAATTTGTTACAAGAACTAGAGAGAGCTACACCCAAGATCCTACAGGTCTTTTGTGAGTAAATAAGAATCCAGAGAGATAACATGAACAAATAGACAATTGTCAAACATCCAGCCAGTAACCATACAAAACTGTCTTACTAGAAATAATATATATATATAGTAAAATAACATGATTTTGCCTGCTAAAATAGAAAAGATTTAAAAGATTATATTAGTTACTTTTTTGTTGCTGTGATAAAACATCATGAGCAAGGCAACTTATAGAAGGAAGAGTTCCAGAGGGAGACAAGTTCATCATGACAGGGAGGCATGGCAGCAGAGGCAGCTGGAGCAGGAAGCTGAGTGCTCACATCTTCAAGCAGGCACAGAAGAGAGAGAGAGAGAGAGAGAGAGAGAGAGAGAGAGAGAGAGAATGGGATGTGGCCATGAACTCTCAAAGCCTACGCCTAGTGATGTGCTTCCACCAACAAGGTCACACCTCCTGAAGGTTCCATGACCCTCCCCAACTACACCACCAACTGTGAAACCAAGTGTTCAAGTACTTAGAGGGTGTGGGGGCCCATTTCTCATTCAAACCATGAAAACGATAATACTTGATATGGTTTAAGCAAACAGCTCTCCTCAAAGTTAAAATGGAGAGATGCATAAGGAGAGCCCTGGAAGCATTGTCTTTGTAACAGAAGACTAGGAACAGGTGTTCATTGAGAGAGAACTGGTTGGATGGATTGTGATACATCCATTGAGCAAAGTTCTATACAGTTTTGAAAGAGGATTGGTAAAATAGATACATGTAGAGAGCTCTCTAGGTAACATTGGTAGGAAAATAACTAGATAGATGATAGATAGATGATAGATAGATAGATAGATAGATAGATGATAGATAGATGATAGATGGGTAGACAGACAGATAGATAGATAGATGATAGATAGATGGGTAGATAGATAGATAGATAGATAGATAGATATAAAACAATATAGGTGTAGACTTAAAGGAGGGAGAAGGGGCTGGATAGATATCTTAGTGGTTAAGAGTACTGGCTGCTCTTTCAGACAACCTGGGTTCAATTCCCAGCACCTACATGGCAGCTAACAATGGTCTGTAGCTCCAGATCCAGGTGATCTGATGTCCTGTTCTGGCCTCCAGGGACACTGAATGCACCTGATGCACTTACATATGTGCATGCAGAACATTCATGCACATAAAACAGAGATAAATTTTGAAAAAAATTAAAGAGGAAGGCAGAGAGGAAGAAAATATGTGCTTTGTTTTCAAAAAAGTCATTGAAAAGGTAGATTTAAAAGCCAATAAAAACTGTGCTTATGGGAGAGAAAGGACAAGAAAAAAATGGAAGAGAGCCAGAAAAGCCAGGAGCCATGCTCGGGAGTTTGGTGGTATGCCATAGCAAGATCTGTCTCCAGTGGCTTTAACTGTAGTCTCCAGACCTGATTTAACCTAAATGCAAATTGTGAGGACTTTGAAATTGCAACCAGCAATCTTGATGCCATGATGACTTTATCTGTATTTTGGAATTATTATCCGTGCATTGAAGGGTAAAAGGAATAAGGAAATATGCATGCTAACGTCTTTATTTTTGTATGCATGTTCATGTGTGTGCAGACATGTGTGTGCATGCATGTAGAGGCCAGAGAACAACCTCTAGTGTTGTTCCTCAGGTATCATTGAGGCTATTTTTCTTTCCTTCTTTTTTTCAGTTAATGTCTCACTGAACCTGGAGCTCACAGTCTGGCTAGACTGAGCTCTTTTTCCCATCTCTCCTGACCTGGAGATTCCACTGTGCCTGGTTTCATGTGTGGGTGCTGGGGATTGAACTCAGGCCCTCATATTTGTGCGGCAAGCACTTTATCAGCTGAGTCATCTCCTCAGACTCAATATTTTTTTATTTTTCAGTTCTGGGAATTGAACTGCGCCTCACACATGCTAGGCAAATGCTCTACCACTGAGCTATATTCCCAGTCCTATTTTTGACTATTTTTAATTTTTCATTCTGATTAACATAATAACAGCATATTGATGAAGTAGAGCATGGCTCTTGGCTTGGCGTATACTTTATGTGAAGATATGCTAATTTTATTAATGTCTTTAGTCATCAGAATTTCAGAATAAAACATTTATATAAAGAGACCAAAGAGCTTGCTAGAACTTTATAATGAGACATCTGTCAGCAGAGTCACTGATCAGAAGCTGAGAAGTAGGAAAGTCAAAAGGTAAACAGGTCTTTCTCCTCAGAGTCTAACCAGAAAAAAAAACAGGAAAAGGGGAACATTTGAAATCTTGCCTGATTTATGCTCAGCGAGTAGTTGAGGGTGCATCAAGGTTTAAAACAGGGGGAGCCAACAGGCAAGAGAGCCTCTTCTCTTTTCTCTCCTGCAGGCTTTTCCTCCAAACACTCTCACTGCACTGTTCTACTGTGGCTCTGTGACCATCTTCTTTGCAGTCATCAAGCTGATCAGCTACCGCCTGCATCTCATGTTCGATAAGGGAGAAGCAATCCAGCACCAGCCCCCAAGAAAGAGAGACAAGACAAGGCCAGAGAGGGAGGCCAGCCACCAGCGCACTGCCAGTCACAAAATCCCAAGGTGACCTTGCCCAGGAGAGTATTCATTCCCAGTACAAAGGTTTAGGTTTGATTAAAATGATTTCTGGGCTGGTTCTACAGCTCAGTCAATTAGAGTGCTTGCCTAGCATGCATGAAGGCCTGGGATCAATCCTACATAAGCCAGGTGTGGTGGTGCATGCACTGGAGAGTGGAGGTGGGAGGATCAGGAGTTCAAGGACATCCTCAGCTATATAGTAACCTTGAGGCCAGCTTGGGCTACATGAGACCCTGATTCAAAGAAGAGAAAGGAAGGATGCCTTCCACGTATGAGTTATCTATGAAGATAAATGAATCAGGCAGGCACAGGTCTGTACATTTTGCTTATGTTGAAGGCTACATTAAGCATAGAATTGATTTTCATAATCTGGATGATTTAGGTGGCTACCAGTATAGTTTCACACAGTGATCTATTCATCTGACTTAGGACTTAGCATTACAGAATATTGTAGTTCAGTATTTTATCATGTTATTTCAATGCATAGAGCACCAAAAGTGTCTTAAAGAGCAGTGTGTGTGTGTGTGTGTGTGTGTGTGTGTGTGTGTATGTGTGTGTGTTAATATAAAGATCAAACATAGCACAGACCTGTGGTCCTGAGAGCAATGCCCAGGGAGCCTTATGGGCACCATTCTGGTGTCATTTCTTACAGTTTTATGAAGGTGTGTCTTCTGAGCAGGAAAGATGGTTCAGCTGGGAATGTGCTTGCTCCATAAGCACAAGGACCTGAACTCCATGCCCAGAACTCATGTCAAAGTCTGGACAGAGCGGTGCATGATTGTAATGCTAGTGTTGGGGATGCTAGAGACAGGTAGATCCCTTGGATTTGCTGGCCAGGCAGCCTCATGAGACCTACAAGTTCCAGGTCAGTGAGAGACTTTGCTTCAAAAAACAAGGTGCACAGCATCTGAAGAAGGATATCTGAGGCTGACCTGTGGTATCCACATATACATATAAACATGTGCACAAACACCCAGGCATGAATGCACATATGTACACAAGCATGTATACATATACAGCCCCCACACATGCATACACATACACATACCACACACATACATATGTGCATACTACACACACACATATAAAACATATGCATGCACATACACTCATACATACCCACACATATATCACACGTGTATACACATACACACATACACTTATATGCATACCACACACATATATATACACTATACACAAATACACATCCACACATACATGATACACACACTACACATGCATATACATAAACGCATGCATACACACACTTACCACACACATACACACACACATACACACACAGAGTGTTTTCTAATTTTAGATTGTTTATGTACTTTTAAAAACAAGATTTGTGTGTAAGGGATGAATCTGAAGGAGTTTGAGAGGCATGTGGCAGAGCCAGCCCTCTGGTAATGTGCTGTCTCTCTCCTTGGATCAGCAATAACAAGCAGATTCACAATGGCAAGAAGGAAGAACCCCTCGGAAACTTGCCCACGCCACCCCTCCGCTGCAGCTCCCGAGGACAAAGTGTCCACTCCCAGCATTCCTTGGGACCATTGGTTAGTGACCTCTTCAGTTCAGTCTCTTCTGTTTATGTGTCCACTCCCCAGTATGCACATGCACATACACACATGCACAACCACACACACACATACACATATACACATACCCAGTGGGAGCAGTTGTATTGGGCCTTGTAGTTGTGGCCATGTGCTTCTCACATGAGGAAATAACCCAACAGTGCACTTGGAATCATCAGGTGACACCCACTGTGTGTTCCCAGCACACCAATGGTCTCTCACATGGTCCTCCTACCCAGGAACCACTGTGCACAGATCTTTATCCTCCTCTCTTCTCCAGTCTTCCACTGAGTTACCTGACTCATAGAGCTTTTCACATGGAAAGAACTCCATCTCTCCATTGATTTCCACATTAAGTCTTGTTTCCTGGAAAGCTAACACATCCCCTTTTTTTCCTGAATAACTTCATGGGGGTTCTGTTCATGACGATAAAAGCTGTTCCTTATTCTCTCTGGTTTTAGTTTCTCCCATCTGAGTCCTAACCAGGCCCAACCTTGATTAGCTCCTGAGATTAGGTTTGTTCTGGGTGGTATGGCCATAGATTGGTTTTAGTTTTTCAATTCGCAGACCCCCCTGCCGTCTGTTACAGTACAGTCGTTTTGGGAGGCTGTCTGCTTAGATGCATTTTAAAACCCATCTTCTTGCTCATTTTGTAAAAGCTCAAGAAGTCCTTCCCTACAAACCACTTAGACAACAGTGATCACCGAGGGCTGACAGTGCCTGCTGGGAATGTGCAGTGAGCTGACTCATGTATCTTGCTTGCTTTTGGTTTCTGTAGGAGCTGCCAGCACAGGAGACAGTGGAAGACCTCAAAGGTAGAATGCTGTCCTTCACTGACATTGTATCCTAGGTGTATCCTTAGGAAAATGATTTTTTTAAAGATGTATTTCATTTTTTAGCTATGTGTATATATACATGTGTGGGTATACACATGTGAGTGCAGTACCCACAGAGGCCGGAGGAGTGTGTCAGATCTGCTGGAGTTGGAGTTACAGGTGATTATGAAAGGTTCAATTTGGATGTGGGGAACTGAACTCAGGTCCTCTCAACATCTCTGTAGCCCCAATAAAATAGGAACCATATTAAGACGGTAATTACATGTTAACTTCATTTCTTTAAAGTCTTAATTTTAATTATTTCTCTTTATGACTTGCATATCAACATGTAACATTTTATGGGTCACATTTCAGTCATTTCTCCAACCTATGCTTGTTTTTCTATGGTTTGTCTTAGTGGATAATGCAACGGGTTGTGTTTATCATTGATGTACCAATTTTTCATTATAGTCCTCACATTGAAAAATGGCAGGAGAATTATGTAGTGTTTTGCCTATCTATGTTTCTTTTAGCTTGCATATTTTATTTTATTTCTTCTGTAGATAATCCCCCGTGCTATGCTCTGTTAGTAAGCCCAGTAAATTCATTAGGATTAAAAAACAAAAAGAACAAAAACAACAAACAAAAAAACCCCAGAGCTAATGGAAACCTTCATTTTTCTACCAAAGTTAACCTCATGGTGTCAAATACTTAGATCTTTGATTTCTTATTCCTATTTTTTCCCCTTCAACTTCATTGTGTATTATTTTTATGTAACCTGCTTCACATTATTGCTGGAAAAATGTCAAAAATTGCCTCTCTTTGGAATAATAAAAATATTTTTCAATTAAAAGAAGCATGATCTGTTCAGAAATGCTGATAAGACCATACTTCTTTCCTTAGTTTAGTGGGATCATGTAGTTAAGAGCAGAGCCAGACCCTTTCTGAACGCCAGACCTTAATATGTGATTGAAAGCATACTGCTCTGCTCCATTGAGGTCTCAGCACAGCAAAAACTGAAAGTATGAATCATTATTTTAAATATAGACCTGTCAGGAGCCATGGTGGAAGAGGAATTCCTAAAAATAAGCATCTGGGGGTGGAGATAGCTCAGTCGGCAGAATGCTTGCCAACCAGGCATGAGAAGCTGAGTTGGATCCCTAGAACCCACATAAAAAAAGTTGGGGTTGTGTCTGGAGGCTGGAGATATGATTCAAAGGTTAAGAGCACTAACTTCTCTTGCAGAAAACTAGGGTGCAGCGTCCATTACATACATGGTGGCTCACAACCCTCTGTAATTCCAGTTCCAGGGGGTTGGATGCCTTCTTAGGGCCTCCATGGGCACTGTACACACATACATGCAGGGAAAAACTCTTAAAACAAAAATAGACTTTTTTAAAGTAGGGTGTGCTGCATGCTTATAATCCTAGCACTGATGAGGTGAAGACAGGAGGATCCCTGGTTCTCACTGGCCAGCTAGCCTAGCTAGATGGGCAAGTTTCAGGCAGTGAGAGACCCTGTCTCAAAAAACAAGGTGGGGGCTGGAGAGATGACTCTGGTTAAGAGCACTGACTGCTCTTCCAGAGGACCTGGGTTTGGTTCCCACAGGACAGCTAACAACTGCCTGTAACTCCGGTTCTGGTGATTCATCACCCTCTTCTGGCTTCTGTGGGCATTGCACACATGTGGTGCACTTACATACATGCAAGCAAAACATTCATACACATAAAAGACAAAAATATAAATTAAAATTTAAAAACCAAGGTGAATGGCGTCTAAAAGAATAACAGCTAAGGTTGACCCTTGGCCTTTGTATACATGCACATAGATGTGCACATATACCTGCGCCCACTTGTGCATAAACAAACACTGAAACACACACACACACACACACACACACACACACAGACATAAACCTCCAAGTGCGTTTGTTGGTGCTCTTTTGGTTTTGATATTATATGGCCTCTGTTATCCTGAGATCTTAAACATAGTTTCAGGTGTGTCTCACTCAAAGCTGTTGTTCATCTCAGGTGTTGTTCTGTCAGAGGATCAACCTGAGGCAGCGATGTCATCTACCTCACCTGGCATCAAGTCAGAACGCTTACCTGCTTCTCAAGTGTGCACAGCAGAACCCACACCCAGGTCAACTAGACTGAGGAAGCCAGTTACCACAGAAATCCTCATTGGTGGGAAAGGGAAGGAACCAGGCACTGTCCAGCAGCTTGCCCACCACAGGTCAGAGGGTGGTTTGGTGAACACAGGAACCTTGAAGAATTTGCCACACTTGTCCTTGTCCCAGTACGACTTACTAGAAACTGATGTTTCCTTCCAACCATGGGGCAGTGAGAATTCAGTCCTTGTTCCACAGCCCACTAGTCTCCACCAGGGCTCCACCAGGGCACAGTCACAAAGCAAATCACCCCAAGACAGCCTGAGCAGCAGCTGCCGTCAGTGCAGCACAGTCCTGGCCAAACCCATGGAGGAGGAGCTGACCCACACATCCTGTCAGGTGGACCTGCCCTTGAACCAGGAAGTAGTTGACTCAGATGGTGAGGTTGCTGTGACCCTAATTGATACCTCCCAGCCTGGAGAACCACTAAGTCTGCATGAACCCATTAAGATTGTTATTACCATGAGTAGTGCCCCAAACTCCATAAGTGACCTCGAGAGATCCCTGCACCTGAAGGTGACCAGCTCAGACAAGACCAGCCATAGGCCGGACACAGAACCATCTGGCTCAGAAGACCCTGAGCAGGTCAGAATTCCCATGATCACTCTCCAGCTATCTGAGGATGGAGGAGGAGCCTCTTGTCACAAAGGAAACAGAGGAGAATGGACCCCCGAGAGACCAAAGATGGAGATGTCCCCAAGTCATTGCTCTGACTATGGGTCTGGGGATGCAGGAGGTGACACCAAGGACTATAGTCCTGCCCCAAGGTACCCTGGGGAACCAGATCCTGTGCTCACACAGGTGGATTCTGAGTCTAAGGGGAACAGAGAGAGCAAGACCAACCTTGACCCGGCCTCTTGTAGGGGCAGCCATGAGAAAAGACATGCCCGTGTGCTCAGTGTGGACAGTGGGACTGACGTCTTCTTGAGCAAGAGTTCCACAGAGGTGGTCAGTGACAGGGAGAAACCTATCCCGACATCCAAATCAGACCTGGAGGCTAAGGAAGGACAGGTTCCAAATGAGTCCAACTTCCTAGAGTTTGTCTCCCTGTTGGAATCCATCAATACGGCCAAGGTGGAAGCCCCAGATCAGGTTCAAAGCTCAGCAGAGCAGAAAGGAACCAGCCAGGGCCCTGAAGGTAAGTCTCCACTGTGCTTCTCTCTGATGATGGCACTGCAGGGTCACCTGGCAATCATTTGCCTCTGTGAGGATCTTGGAAGTATGTGACAGCTCTCAGGAGATGCTTAATTGCTGGTGTGTGTGTGTGTGTGTGTGTGTGTGTGTGTGTGTGTGTGTACATGTGTATTCATGAGTGGGGGTGCATAGATAGATGTGTATGTGCACGGTGTATATGTGGAAGTCAGAGGGCAACCTTGGGTGCTGGTCCTCAGTGCCTTCCATCTCTTGTTTGAGGCAGGCTCTCTCACTGTTGCCACTGAGTGGACCAGATTGGTTGGTCCATGAGTTTCCAGACACCTGCCTGTCTCTGCCTCTCATCTTGTACACTGGGATTATAGGTGTGCTCCACTGCACAAGGTTTTTTATGTGGGTTCTCGGGATCTGAACTCAGATCCTCATGCTTGTGAGGCAAGCATTTTACAGACTGAGCCATCTCTTTGGCCCTGTTGATTTTGCCACCTGTGCTTGTTAAGTGAGCCAGTTCTGAGCTGTGATGAGCAGATGTGTTCCTTTCATCCAAAATTGGAAGCAGAAGTGTTTCAGATTTGGGACACTTTCAGTTTCTGGAATATTTGCCTACATACTATTAGGAAACACAATATTATGTTTATGTTTGCATTCATTTATGTTCTGTCTATACCCCATACACAGCCTGCAGGTTACTGAATGCACCTGTATTCTGACTGCCTTGTTACATGAGATCACATGTAGGTTTCCTCTTGCAACTCCACGATGTTGCTCGTGAATTCCTGGATTTGGGGACATTTCAGGTTTCTGATTTTCAGACTGGGAAGGATCCACCCATGTGTGCTTAGTGTACAGGAAACTTAAAATGTTGTTATGAATTTGTAGCTTCCCTAGAAGACCATAATATGTATTTCCAGAGAAATAAACAGTTGTCTTTGTCCAGTTACAACAACTCCAAATAGATGCCTCTTCCTGTGTAGAAGGGATGCTTTGGGGGAAAGTTTATCATAAAGCAAGTTTCCTTGGGAATTGGGGGATGATTCAGTCAGTAAAGTGTTTGCCATGGAGACATGAGGACCTGAGTTTAATCCCCCAGAACCCGTGTAAAAAAGAAAAGCCAGGCCCTACAGTGAGCACCTGAAATCCCAGCACTGGGGAGGCAGAGACAGGTGCAGCCCTGGGGCTCACTGGCCAGCCAGTCAGCTGAATTGGAAGCCTCCAGTTTCAGTGAGAGATTTTATGTCAAAAGATGAGGTAGAGGGGCCAGGCATGGTAGCCCATATCTTTAATCCCAACACTCAGGAGGCAGAGGCAGGCCAGTCTCTGAGATGAAGGATAGACTGTTCTACATAGTGAGTTCCAAGTCAGCTGGGGCTAGAGGAGACCCTGTCTCAAAATAAAACAAATAAAACAAAAGCCAGAACAAAGAAAAGATAATGACTGAGGGAGACACCTTCATGTTCGTCTCTGGCTTCTGCTTGCCTGGAGAGAGAGAAAGAGAGAGAGAAGGAGGAGAAGGGGGAGGGGGAGGAGGAGGGAGAGGGAGGGAAAACTTTTCCTACTGAATTCTGTCATATGCCTGATTACTGCTGGGTGAGGAAGAGCTGATCTTAGAGGGAGGGACTCTAGATAGGCTGACTAGACCCCAGTAGATGAACTTGTACTGAAGGATATCTGGGGACACTAACTTAACAAGATAGGCCTTAACACAAATGACAGAATGTATGAATTCCAGTGGAAGGGGGCTTTGGGGCGCCAGTGGGGAAGGGGGTATAAAGAAGATTAAAATTAAGATGTTCTGTATGAAATATGCAAAAATTCAATAACAATTTTACCCCAAAACATGAAATTCCTAGTTTTTCCAAGTTGTAAACATCAGAACAAACATTTCTACAGTTCCTGATTGGTGGCAGGCCCTGTCCTAAGCACTTAATTTATATTACTCCATAAATAACCCATTGTTGTGGATTCAGTGGTCATTCCTCCTTTGTATCCAAGGCTTGGAGATTTTCATGAACTGTCTCATGTTTTGTCTTCAGTACAAGAAGTTCAGAGGTGTCTCACCAACAGCCTGCCCCAGGGGTGTCAATTTGTCACCATCATACTGTATTTCCTATATGTAGACTGGGCATTTGTTTGCAGGGTCTCGAGAGTACAGAGAGGCCTCAGTTGCCCCCTTTGATACAAAGATGCTACTAGACCAGAGTTTTTATGTCTTTTAGTATTAAAGTTCTGTGTTGAGGTGGTATTGGAGGGCATCATTCTGTTTTGTGTCTTTGCTGAGCCAGGTACACAAGACTGCTGGTGGCAAGATGTGATACACAGGGCAACTTTTGGTTCCTTGCTGGAGTAAGTTTTAGGGCTGGTGTTGGTCCTTTACCATTGGTTGTTCTCCGCTCTCAGAACAACTCTCCATGGGCAGCTCTGAGCAGGTTCCTCCAATTCAGTTAACTTTTTAGACAAACATAGGCAGTATATACAATCAGGAGTAAAATATTTTTGTGATAAGAATTCTTTAAATTTTTATTACATTTATTTATTCTGTATACAGGAGGGAGCAGGGCCCATACCTTGCTATCTCTGTGGGGGTCAGAGGATAACTTTCAGGAGTCGGCTCTCTCCTTCTACCATGTTGGGTCCAGGGATTGAACTCAGGTCTTTCTGCCTGATGACAAGTGCCTTTAGCTGTTGAAACATCTCACTGACCCTTTTTTTATTGAGACAGAGTCTCATGTGGCCCATATTAGCTTGGAACTCACTATGTAGCCAAGGATGATCTTGAATTTATGATTCTTTCACGTCTACCTCCTAAGTACTGGGATGACAGGTATGTGCCACCACACACGGTTTATGGGTGTGTATGGCAGAGAAACAGAGCAAGATGACTTGGGGTTTCTCTTCCCATTGTCCTGAGTGACAGTCGATCCAGCTTGACCTTGGAGCCAATTGGAACATGATTTGTGATTCCAGCTCTAAGATGCTCTCCATCATGACTTATGCCAGGAAGGGATGTGGGATGGTCCTTATCCCTGTAAGTATCCTTCAACTCAGGGCTGTGGAAAATGTCACACCACCCAAAGCCTTTAAATTACATTCGAGCTGAGTATGGTGGTGTGCACTTACTATCCTGGTCTTGGGAAGGCTAAGGCAAGAGAATGGGGGCCATCTGAGCTGCATATTGAGACTTGTCTCAAAAAAAACCCAAACTAAACAATAACAGTAATAATGAAAAGTTTGCCTAATTTTATCTTTCTTTTGTGTAAATAAAAACACCTCCATCCTTCAGCGCAGAACAAGCCAGACCATTGTCAGAGCAAAGGCATAGCTAGTTTGGTCAGTAACTTAAAGCCATGTGCATCATAAAGTTTCTTGTTATGAAGGGAGGCTTCTGGTCTGCTATGAATGAGGCTGTCAGCCTGGGGATCGAGGGGCCACAGGACCTGGACTGTCCTGTGTGTTGCTTAGGGCTGAGCATTACAGAGCATCAGCAGCACCCAGGACCATTGGCTAGCAGCCCGACTTCTGCCATGCCTGACTCTCCCATAGTAGGTCAGGTCCTGGGCTAGGGCTGAGGGTAATACATGGGTTGCTGGCTGCTGCAGATGTTGCTAAGAGCTCTCTGTGTACATTTCCAGCCATCAGTCTTTGTTTACTCTGTCTCTTAAGTTCTAGAAATTTCTACAAAACTTATCCTTATTGAAGAATTATTTACGACATAGGTTTATGATTTTTTTCTTAGGGAGATGTGAACAAATGACCATGTGTTCCAGATATGGTATCAACAGCAGAGCCAAGAACAAATTTCACTCAAGTCTAGTTTAGTGGACCTGTTAGTTTACTTGTGCATGCTTACAGGAGCATGGGTGACTCAAAGGCAGCTTCATCACTGAACAAAAATGTCCACCCCAGCATGGCTGACAACTCAAGAAAGCTGCATCTCTGGAGGACGTACAGGCAGTGGGACAGGTCAGAGTCCTATAGGCAGTAGGCAGTTCTGCCATTTGGAGAACCCCACCCCCACCCCTTGAGGCAGAGCCTTGTGGGGTGGAGCCTTGTGAAGCTTGTAAGTTTTTGTTTAACTTCCTGACCCTTATAAGTTTCCTTTGTTTCTTGGATAGTATGAGCTTCCTTCCTCTCTCTCCAATGAGTGTTCCACTTCAGAGGAAATAGGAAAATAGAAAATAGGAAATCAGAACAACCCAACAACAGGGCTGGAGAGATGGCTCAGCAGTTAAGAGCACTGACTGTTCTCACAGAAGACCCCAGTTTGAATCCCAGCACCCACATGGCAGCTAACAACTGTCTGTAACTCCAGTTCCAGGGGATCTGACAGCCTCTTCTGTCCTCCGCCAGCGCTGCACTACACGGGTGCAGTTACATGCAGGCATCCACGCATACACATAAAATAAAAATAATAAATAAAATATTTTTTAAAAGAACCCAATAAGAAGGCTCTCATTAAATGCATCAGTGTATGTAGCTACTGTTTTTAGATGAGGTGAAAGAATGTCTTGTGGAAGTAGATAGTGATGATCTTTAAGCATGAGAATGCAAAGGCAGTGTCTCTATTGTTACTTTATTTTTGTAAAAAAACCAAAAAAAAAAACAAAACCAACCAAACAAAAAAGACATGTTTTCATGGAAGAAAAATTTCAGTGAGCTCCAGTGTCAGAGCAGGAGGTTTGAATTCTGGAGCTGAGGGGTGTCTCAGTGAGTAAAGTGCATGCTGTGAAATTATGAGCGCTCACATCTGATCTCGAGCACCCAGGTAAAATGTGGGGCACAGTGGTGCACATCTGTAACCCCAGGGCTGGGGCAAGGGGATGAGAGACAGGAGCATCCCTGGATCATGTCAGCCAGCCCAACCAAATCTGTGACCTGTGGGTTCAGAGAGAGATCCTGTCTCAAAAAAAGAAGGTGGAGAGTGATCAAGGAAGACATCCAACCTTGACCTCTATCCTTCATATGCCTATGCAACATGTATGCATGTACCAGTACGTACACATGTACCAATATACACACATGCATGCACCCACAAGACCATGTATATACAACACATATACCCAAAGAAAGAATTGTAGAGAGTCGAATGCTTTCCTTTTACACAATGAATATGAACTATTGTCATAAGAGAACATCCCTCTATGTGCCTCTCTCTCTCTCTCTCTCTCTCTCTCTCTCTCCCTCCCTCCCTCCCTCCCTCCATCCCTCCCTCTCTCTCCAGGGCCTCCCTGTAGACCAGACTGACCTTGAACTCACAGAGATCTACTTGCCTCTGCCTCCAGAGTGCTGGGATTAAAGGTATGAGCCACCACACCCAGCTCCTGTATGTGGTTTTTAAATAAAAAAGGACAAAGATATTGCCATACACTACCCTGTGGGGTGTGCACATTAAGGGACCGAAGAGACTGGAGATAAGCAGATGTGCACAGGCAGGGCAGCATGGTACTGGAGCTGCCTTGGAGCACCCTATGTTACCTGCAGTTACGTTATGGTGTTGCTTTTCTCATAAATGCATTTCTCAACAACGTGAGTGCTGCCTGCCTGACAAGCTGTCAGGTGAAATGCAAACAGTTTTGTGCTCGGTGTCAGGGCCCACACGGAAGCAGGCTGTCTCTCCTGACGACTAGGAAGAAGCCCAAGAGGGAGGTCTTTGCATCTGTGGTGAGGCTGCTTGACACCTGTGGACATGTCACTGCAGCCTCAGTCTGGGAAGGTCTCAGAGGGTCAGCCTTGTGTCCTGTGTGTGTGTGTGTGTGTGTGTGTGTGTGTGTGTGCGTGCGTGCACGTGCTCATATGAATATGTATGTGTGTGGAGGCCAGAGGTCAGTGTCAAGTATCTTTCTCTGTTGCTCTCCACATTTTAAAAAATTATATCTTTATTTTTAAAGATTTAAATTATTCTGGAAAAAAAGCTTAAAACATATTCCTTGGAACAGAGCTGTTACTTACTACCTGTTCTGTGGAGAAACTTCTTTTTGAGGGCTATGGTGAATGGATGAACATACATAGTAAAACTGACAATATTTTTAAAATATATTAAATACAAAATTAAAATATAATTGCTGGTCAAAACAGATTTAAATTATTTTTTGAGAATTTCATACATATAACAATGTATTATGATCATACCCGCCCCCATTTGTCCTCTAAAACTCCCCCATTCCTCCAACGCATCCTCCTACCAACTGCATATCCTCTTTTTATTTATTTGTTTTTGTTGTTATTCCACTGTATCCTATTAATGCTGCCTCTATGCACATGTGTGGGCATGAGCCCCTCCCCCATCCACGCTGGAATTCTGACTGACCTTGTCTTGTGCAGGTTACCACAGCTGCTGTGAGTTCATGAGGGAAACAGCGGGGTCATGTCCCACATTCACACACTCCCTCCCATCCTCCTGCTCTTATTTTCTTTCTGCCGTCTCTTCTGAGCTGTTGTGGGTGGGGTGGGTGCTGACATAGATGTCCGGCTGAGGCTCATAGTCACTTATTCTCAGTGACTGGTATTTGACTAGTCAGGAATCTCTGCTTTCAAAAAGAAGTTTCTCTGATGTAGGTTGAGAGCAGCCAGGGTCTATGGGTATAAATGTAAATACTCAGAAGGCTGTTTGACAGCAGGACCATTTAGCAAATTAACAATAGTGAATTCCCCACTAGTGCCTGTGAACGCCTCCTTTTGACCAGGTTTCCAGTACCAGGGATAAATTCCCTCCTGTGGAGCCGGCCTCAGATCTGGCCAGAAAGGGTTAGTTACCCCATGACAGCCATATCATTCACGATGGGCCTGCAGGGTCCAGCACTGGGTAATACTGTTGATGTCTTTTCTCCCCTAGTGACCTGAATAGCACCTTCTGGCACTGTGAAAGCTAACCAGCAGGGAGGAAGTTTCCTGATCAGTTTGCTGTGCTACTAATGTATCCTTCACCTTATTCTTTGAGACAGAGTCTCTCATTGAACCTGGGAATCACCGATTCAGCTAGACTGACTGGTCAGCGAGCTCCAGGGATCTACCTCTCCACCTCCAAGCCCTGGGGTTACAGATGTGTGCCACCACACACGGCTTTTTATGTGGGGTGCTGGGGATCGAACTCAGGTCCTCATGCTTGCAGAGCAAGCACTTTATTGAGTGAGTCACCTCCCCTGGCCCTCAACAGTGTGCTTTGAAAGGACATGTGAGTAAAGACTCCTTGCTTCTGTCCCCAGGCCCAGACTTCGACCATTCAGAGGTTACAGTTTACCCAGAAGATAGCTGTCTATATTTGGTCACAGAGATACCTGATAATGTTGACCCAAGCAGGGGGTAGGGTGCCCTTTGCATAGTGGCATAAGCCAAAACCCATAATCTGGCCCAAGGCTTAGAGAGGATTCTAAACAAGCTCCCTTCCACCATCTGCTCTGCCAGTTGCCAAGCCTTTTACCTTCTGTTGTCCCAGGTGAGGGGTGAATGTGTATCATGCTGTGTCTCCATGGCACTAAGCCAGTAATTCAGAATCAGTTGCCTTCAGTAAGTACCAGCATTCCCAAGGGTCCACTCTGCCTTTAGCTAAAGATTGATGTATGGAACAGAAAGACTAACAAAATTTTGAAATGGTCAGTGGGGTCAGAAATAAGTTTCTGTAGCCTTCTTTTAAAAATTATATTTATTTGTATGTGTTAGTGTGTTCCTTCTTGTCTGTATGGACACCACATGTGTGCAGTGCCCACAAAGGCTAGAGGAGGGCATCAAATCTCCTGAAACTGTACTTAGAGGCAGTAGTGAGCCATCCACTGTGGGTGCTGGGAAATGAACCTGGGTCCTCTGCAAGAGCAGCAAGTGCTCTTAACCTGTTAGCCACCTCTCCATTCCCTTCTTAAAAAAAAAAATTCTGAGATTATTCAGTGTTTAAGAGCACTGGTTGCTCTTGCAGAGGACCTAGGTTCAATTCCCAACACCCACATGGTGGATAACAACCTTCTCTAACTCCAGTTCCAGGGAATCTGATGCCTTCTTCTGTCCTCCTCGGGCATTGCTCTGCACGGGTGTGCTTACATACATGCAGGCAATGTATTAATACACACAAAATAAAAAATAAAACACTTTAAAATCTGAGATTATGCATTTGTGTATTTGGAATCTTTCAGGCCTGTGGGGAGGAGGGACCTGTGTCAATGTAACCGAGTCTCTGGGTCAGGTCAAGAGAGGCTCTGAATCTCTTGGCAGAGTAGATGATGTCTGTAGGTGCCTCAACAGCTTGTATCAAAACATATCACACATCTGTTTTTCAGATATATTTAGAACTTCATACTTAGCAAAGGGAGTGTGTGTTTAGAAACTTGTCTGGCCCAATCGCTCCCTTTCTTCCTCTTTTTCTCTAATTTGAGACAGGGTCTCACTAAATTGACAATGTTGGCTTTGAACTTGGAGGAATCCTCCTGCCTCAGCTTCCTGAATGCCAGGATTATTGTTGTATACCACTGTTCTAGTTTGTTTCTCCATCGCTGTGACAAAATACTGTAACCAATTCCAACTTGGGGAGGAAAGGGTTTATTTTGGCTTACATCTTCCAGGTTGCAATTCATCAGGGAGCTCAAGGTAGGAACTCAGGGCAGGAACCTGGAGGCAGGAACTGGAGCACAGGCCATGGAGGAACGCTGCTGACTGACTTGCTCCCCCGGCCCGTGCTCAACCTGCTTTCTTAAATAAAACAGGCCTCCCACATCACTCAGCAATCAAGAAAGTGCCCCCACAGGCCAGTTCAATGGAGGAAATTCCCCACTTGAGGCTCCCTCAACTCGGTGTGTCAGGTTGATAATTAAAGCTATCCAGCACAATTGACCCCTTGTCAAGTTGACATATAAACACATTACTATTAAACCACAACCTTTCCATTTCTTGCCTCCAAGATATGATATTAACAGTATCACACCATAAGATAGTACAAACTTAAAAGTCCCACAGTCCTTAAAAAATCCAAACAGTTGAAAGTACACAGTCTCTTTTAAAACTTTTAACTTTGGGCCCCTGTAAAATCTAAAACAAGTACTGACTTATATTAAAAGGGAAGAATTGGGCACACTTAAGCAAAACATAAGTCCAGCAAAGTAGCTCAAGGCTGGACATCTGGGATTCATTCACAATCTTCTGGGCTCCAAAGGGTTTTGGCAGCTCCACTTCTCTGACTCTGCCGTCCACAGCATACACAGCTCGTCTTGCAGACCCAAACCGGCTCCATTCCACACCTGCTGCGGCTCTTGGTAGCCTTCTGATGGTCCTGGCATCTCCAAAAAGCTGAGGTCTCCACTGAAACTGAGGCTCTCGGTTGCAAAGCCTCAGATTCTCTCCTTCAGTCCTTTTAGGATTGTTACTTATTGCCAGAGCATTCCCATTTTTTTCTCTATTTTTGGTCATAACACACAGAACTGTATTTTCCAGATCATACCTCACAGGGGACCAGAGAAGAAGCTGTGGAGAGTAAAAGGCCTGGTGGGCACGATCCTAAGCCTGGGAAACCAGACTTGCCACATGGAGACCGAGAGAATACCAGCCCTGGGTCCACACAGCCTGCCAAGACCACAGCACTGTAGGTCGGATTCAGTCACTTAGCCCTGTGCAGAGTAAGAGGCAGCCTCTCCTACTAGTTGCTGCTTTTAATGCTTTGGGAAGGAAAAAGAGGAATTCCTGATCATTTTTATTTGCACACATACGTGTGTATGTGTGTGTGAGTGTGTGTGTGTGTGTGTACATGGGTGTGTGTATAGGCTAGAGGTAAGGGTAGGGTGTCTTCTCAGTCAAGCTTCAGTTTGGCTCTTGAGACAGGGTCTCTCACTGAACCCCAGATCACCAATTCAGCTAGGTGGGCTGGTCATTGAGCCCTAGGGATTGTCCTGTCTCTACTTCCCCAGAACTGGGATTGCAGGAGCTTGCTGCCTGCTGTGCATGGCTTTTATTCACACTGGTTGCTTAGAATTTGAACTCAGGTCTTCACGCACATGGCCAGCACTCTATCCACTAGGATACCTCCCCAACCTCTCATGTCTTTGAAGCTTTTCATGTGTTAAGTTTCCAGGGCAGTCGGCAGAGGCAGATTATCTACAGAGTCACTTCCCAACAAGACAGCTCTATGCTGCAGGTCATCAGTGGGCCAGAAACCTCTGTACAGGAGATGTCTGTGGATGCCATGCATGTTTTCATTGATGAACACGGTGAGTCTTAGCAAGAAGGGGGGCAGCCATAGCTTTCTCAGGGCTCTACATGGCCCATAGTCTGAACACTAGGTGTTAAACAGCCTTGCAATTTTAGCCTAATTTTCTTGGAAGGCCTGCTCACTTTTGTGCCTCAGGACCTTTGCATGTTCTGTGCCCACAGTACCTTCAATGTGCTATTTGTAGTTTACATCTTAGTTCAAAGGAGAACTTTTTCAGGAAAACCTTTGACTGAACCAGGTGCATTAGCTTTTGCTCTTTATTTTTATTTTAGTATTACTTTTTCTCACGAGATCTTATGTAGCCCAGGCTAGCCTCAAATTCACTGTGTAGCCCAGAATGACCTTGAACTTCTGATCCTTCTGCCTCCACCTCCCTAGTGCTAGGATTGCAGGTGTGTGCCACTATACCTGGTTGATTTGGTGCTTGGAATGGAACCTAGGTCTTCAGCATGCCAGGCAAGCACTCTACCAACTCACCGTACTTGTCCTAACTCTCTCCTGTGTTTTGTTCTCTTAACACTTGGTCCTTTATCTTTTTCTACACTATTAACGGCCTGCAATTATTTATTGTCTTATAATAATTTGCTTAGTGACATTTCCACTTCATGAGTGGAAACTTCAGTTGTGGGAAGCGAGCACGGCCGAGCCAGCCAAAGATGGCGCCTTGGCTGGCTGCCAAACCTCGTGCTGTTTACTTCAACTCTTGGCTAATTGCCAAGGCTCGTGATCCTCGCTTGTTTACTCCAGCTCCCTGAAGCATGGTGAGCCCGAACATGTGCTGCCTGCCTGATGATCTTACTACGTGGCCCAATGAGCTGCCACTCTGCCTGCCCGCTGCATGTGTGTGTGCCCTGATTGGTCCTGGCTGGGGGGAGGGCTGTTGGAAACGCTATATGAAGAGCTGAAGTGTGTAAGGATAGATAAGGGAGAAGAATAAAGAGAGAATAAAGGAAGAGTGAGAAAAAGAAGCTTGAACCTCACCTTGGTGTCTGTGTCGTCTTTCCTCGGCTCTGCTGGACAGAGTCGTGGCTTGCGACATTCAGTGGCATCAGTGTCCTGTTCACAAAAAATATTTATTGGATATTTGTTAAAAATCTGACCCTAATATCTTTTGTTAGCGCCCTCATATGAAAAGGTTATAAAATAGTTTCATATAGAATCATCAAATCGCCGGGTCAGAGTCTCTAAGACAAGGGACACAAGCTCTGGTGATTCTGGAATGGGTCTTGGCTAAAATCCTTATTTTTTTTAGATTTTATTTGTGTGTATGTTTGTGTGTTGGTATATGTATGTGAATACAGGTGACCTTGGAGGGCAGAATCAAACTTGAGCCCTCTGCAATAGTAGTACGCGCTCTTAACTCCAGCCCTAAAGTCGTTAAAATTATATATATAATTAATATATAAATCTATATTGTAGATGTATATGTTTTATATGTTTCAATGGGCTTACAAACTAGCAGTTTTCTTTATGGAATTCTCACGCATACTTAGTTTCAGTTGACTTGTACCTTTCCCTGCCCAGAACTCCCCTTCCACTTACAGATCACATGTTTTGTACTCGTTCACCCTCTCCCTAAAGCCTCTTTTTCTTCCCGAGTCCTTTTCTAGTTTTCTGGCCTCTATATACACTCACTCCAACTTAAATACAAATATTTAAAAAGTGCCAATAAGAAGCTAGGACAGCATGTGAGAGAGCAAGTGCAGTCTGTCTGTCTGTCTGTATGGCACACGCCCAGTATAGATCAAGTACTGTCAGTTTCTTTACCCTCAGAAGGATGCTGGCTTAGATGCTGAGCTCTCTGATCACCTTATCCAGTTCGTGATCATCTGTATCTGCAGATAAGACACTTTCCCTTAGAACACCAGGAGCTGGGAATGCATGTAGCTCAGTGGTAAAGCACTTGCCTAGCATGTATGGGATCAGGGATTTGAACCTTACCAACACACACACCACATACATACACACAGACACATGACAAACCACAAATACACACACCACAAATACATACCACACACATGCCACATACATACACCACAAATACACACCACATACACACACTACAAATACACACCACACACACCACGTACACATACCACAAGTACATACCACATAGCACATCACATACACCACAAATAGACACCACATATGCATACCACACACATACATTGCACATACTACATATACACACCACACACAAATATACACATAAAACATGCATACACACATACACACAGACATTCCCCTCACCACACCACACAGGCTGTACATACAGAGGCCACACACCACACACATGTAATCACACATCATACATATACACTCAGCATACACACACAGGTACACAGGTACACACACACCATAACCCCCTCCCCCTCCCAAAAAAAAAGGGAAGAAAAAGCAAATTAGCACCTCAACTTTCACAGGGGTGGCCTGACCTTGGCTTAGTTCTGTACCTTGTGCTGAGGACCCTGGGAGGTGCTCCCAATACAGGGTTAATTGCACTTCCTGGGATCCCAGGGGCTAGTGTCCTAAGAGCTCTGAGGAGAGTTTAGTTGGCACAGGAGCTGATTTACACTTCAATACCCAGGACCCTCCAGAGGAGCTAATTCAGCTCTGCAAATGAATTCCATTCCCCCTTTTCCTCATTAACTTGCTCATCTGCACAGAGGCAATCATGGTCTCCATCTAAGCTGCATACTGAACGAGCCTCTTTATACATGTGATGCCCCTGTGCACCTGAACCAAACCCATCTTGGATACCATCCCCCAGTTGTAAGAAAGTGAAGTCAAGGGCTGGGGATACAGCTCCTTCCATAGAGTGTTTGAGAAGCACACAAAAACTCCCGAGTTTGATTTCCAGCACAGCACAAACCACTCCTATACTCCCAGAACTCAAGAAGTGGAGGCAGAAGGATCAGGAGTTAACAGTTCTCTGTGGCTACATAGCAAATCCAAGGCAAACCTGGGCTACATGAGACCTTGTCAAAAGAAAAAGAAGAAAGGAAGGAAGGTAGGAGGGAGGAACGGAGGGAGGGAGGGAAGGAAGGGGAAGAGAGGGAGGCAGGAAGGCAGGAAAGAAGGAGTGAAGGAAATAAGGAAGGAAAAGAAAGGAAAGAAGGAAGGAAGAAAGAAAAAAGAAAGAAAAAAAAGAAAGAGGGAGGGAGGGAGGGGGAGAGAGGGAGGCAGAAAGGAAGGAAGGAGAGAAAGAAGGAAGGAAGGAGGAAGGAAGGAAGGAGGAAGGAAGGAAGGAAGGAAGGAAGGAAGGAAGGAAGGAAGGAAGGGAGACTGACGGACTAGGTGTAGTAGCCCACACCTGTAGTTCCAACAGTGGGGAGACTGAGGCAGGAGGACTGAGAGTTGAAGGTCAGTCTAGGCTATGTAGGGAGAGAAAAAAGAAATGGAAGGGAAAAGAAAAGCACTGAAGAATTAATGCAAATTAAGTGACCAGAGGAGTAGTACCAATAAGTAGATGGAAGGCAATGAAGAGGTAAGCAACAGAGTCGGGGTGTCTAAGCACATGACCAGGCAGGTATGCAGAAGAAAATCCTTCTTAGTGACATTCTTTAATCGTCGTTGTCTTCCTGTGTTCTGGAATACCTAAAGGATCTGAAGCAGTGAGATGGCTTATCAGCAGCTACTGTGCAAACTGCCTCCCTACAAACCCTCATTTCAGGTCATCCTGCTTCCTAGGTGCCATTTTGCTGCCCTCTGCTCAGTGTCAAACAGAACAAAAATCCAGTTGCTCTACAGACAGTCCAAGCCAAGTTCCCTTTAACTTGAATATAGTGTGTGTGTGTCTGCACTGTGGATGGTGCGAGTGTGGTGTGATGCTCTTGGCTGACATCTCCTGATTTTGCAGGGGAAATCAGATCCTGTTTCTTAAAGTCTGGAAATCAGAAAGAAGCCTCCTTGCAGCATCTGCCCTCTAATCAGGACTGTGTCTCTCATGCCAGGTGAGTTGGGGTCAGGGCTTTGTGCCTTCAGTTCTGGGAGCTGCCACAGTGCTGGGACCCAGGGGGGTCTTCAGAACTGTTTTGCCTGGAGGGGGAGGAAGGCATTGGTCCTTATGGGGTCAAGACATGGTTTTGTGTGAAAAAATCTGACTTTGTAGAAAACTGAGAACCAAACATTTTTGTCCTGGCCATATCTGAAGATGAATGAAGATAAGGAGGGGCCCTGTGTAAGGGAGGAACCCTACCTGAGGAAACAGAGCTGTCTTCAAGAAAAACTGTAGTCGTTTCAGACACAGAGGCACACAGCTCAGGGCCCCAAAGCACAGGGCCCTACATGACAGTGCAGGTTTTGCTTCAGGAGCTCATCTGCTAAAATTCCTTGGGAGAAGTGGTAAACAATGCCCATCCCCCTCCTCCCTTGGTCCCAATGACAAAACAAGGCACAATTCCACCAAAATGCACTCTGGGAAATGAATGGGTTTAACAGGTTTACTTACAGAGCAATAGTTAAGGTTTACTTGCAGGAGTGTGGGTGTTCAACTTCCCACCTAAAACCACACCAGAAAATCTTCAGACATAGATGATGGCTTCCCCAAAGCCACCTAAAATGGTTAGACCCCTCCCCTAGTCTTCTGCAGCCTAAGTACTTTAACCTCTTCCCCAAGGCCACATGCAATTAGGGCCAAATTACTCATTGGGGGTTGGAGGTATGGTAGGGTACTCAGGTAAGGGTTTTGTGACTCCCCCTCTCCTTCTATGGGGGCATAAGTTATCAGCAAGCCCACCAGTGATGATCTTGGGCAAGCAGGCACAGCTGAGCTCAGGAAGATGGTGTTTGTTGGACGACAGTCCTTTACAATACCATAAATGTGGGGGTTCACAGGCAGAAAAAGAAGGTACTCTAGAGGTAGACAGTCTAGATGTCTTTCCTATTTTGTTGAGAATGATTGAAACAGCGTTCCTAGTCCCAGGAGCTCAGCTTACGTAGCTGAGTCACGAGCTGGCTGGCAGTGCTCAAGGGCTAGCTGTTCAGCACATTGGTGTTTCTCTGGGCTTTGAGATTCTTTATGGTAACCTGTGTGGGTGTGTCTCAGTTGCTTGCTATAAATCTGGAAATAAATCTGTCATGTACAATTTTTTAGAACTGCAAGTATATCTGAAGATTTATAGGGACTTTTGTGATATAATTGGAATGTTGTGGGCTTCCCATATGGAGACAATTAGTGGCATTTAAGAATTGAAATTTCAGGGCTAGAGATGTGGCTGTTAGTCAAAGGCTCACCTAGCATACATAAGCCCTGCCTTCCAGCCCCAGCAGCACATGAACCAAGCATGGTAGCATCCACTTGTAATCCCATCATTCAGGAAGTGTTGGAGGCAGGAGGATCAGAAGTTAAAGGTCATCCTCAGCTACACAGAGATGCTTGAAGCCACCCTGAACTACATGAGACTTTGTCTCAAAACAAACTGAAAAGTGCAAAAACATAAATTCCATCTCATATTTCTTCCCGAGCCCAGAGGGATAATAGGACATTCCTAGGTGTAAAGGGACTGTTAGGAAAGCCTAGAATAAACCACGTACATCATTGTCCTTGTGCACTAGCCTCTGGAATGTTCTGTCATTGATGCTATGATACCATAATTCTCACCTACTCAAGAATGCCACAGCACCTTCCGTCCATACAGCTCTTCCCACTATCCCATCCCTCCTGGCTCTGCTCTACTGGCACCTAGCCACTCTTCAGGGACGCAGTCCATTCCGTATCTCCTCCTTGCCCTACAACTTCTTCCTGTCTCAGGAGCCTGTGCACCAATCAAAACAGACTTCTTCAGCAGAAGACGTCCAAAGTCCCCAAGCAAAGGGACACCCAAAGGGAAGAGAAGTTTCCATGACTGTCTCAACCCTAGGTTCAGTACATTCTATCATTGCATGGACTGAGCTTCATCATCTAAGATAGCAGCTTCCTCAGGTGACACCTCCAATGGCAGGGAAGCACACCACACCACTAAGAACCGTCACATCCTGCTCTCTCCCAAAACGGGTGTTCCTATGCTAAATTCAGAACAATCAGAAGCCTTTTATTTTAGCTCAGTGTAAAGTTCAGAGCTTTGGTGTGGGTGGGTTTTGGTTTGTTTGTTTTTTTCTGGATGAATACTTTCTTCCTGGGTAAGTACTGTAACTTCCTGGGTAAGTACTGAATTTACCAGTAATACCAGTGTTCTTTCTGTACAGTCTATACAGAATGATCTGCAATAGCCATATTTTCTGTTTTGAATGAGTTTATTAAGTATACAGCAAGCCAAAATAAAAGAATAAATATCAATATATGGATGGATGATAGATGATAGATAGTATATAGATGACAGATAGGTGAAAGATTATTGATGATAGATAGATGATGATAGATCGATAGGTAGATCGATGGATGATAGGTAGATCGATAGGTAGATGATAGATGATAGATAGATGATAGATAGATAGATAGATGATAGATAGATAGATGATAGATATATAGATAGATGACAGATAGATAGATAAATAGATAGATAGATAGATAGATAGATAGATAGATAGATAGATAGATAGATAGTGAAACCTTATCAAATCTGGTGCTCAAACATCTAGTAGAAGTGGACTACGGAAGCCCTGTTGAGGTCTCCAGCTGGAGTTCTCGGAAGAGAGAGCCCTGGGCAGAGTAGAGTGTCCCCACAGATGAGGCATCCAGTAAGAGAACAAATAGCAACAGCAGAGAAACATCACCTAATCAGGTGCTCACAACATCCAGCAGAAACCGACCACTGAAGTTGAGGCTGTCAGCTGGAGTCCTTGATTGAGCTCTCCCCACAGCTGAGCTTCCTGTGACTGAACTTCCAGCTTCTCTTTCCCTCTGCAGACACTTGTATATCATAGGATAAACCATAGTAACCTCTGTTGGGAATGTTTTACCTTCCAGCTCTTCTCCAGTGCATAGTGATTTTAGTCTGTTAGGCTGTTTAGTCTTTTAGGCTGTTTGGCTGTTCTCTTCCCTCCCTATCACAGTCGGGGGAAAGCCCATCCCAAGACAAGGGGCCTTGGAGGACACGCTGAGACAAAGGTGCTCGAGTATGAAATGGTGGTTAGCAACCCCATTTCTAGAGCCAGCTTCTCAGTGAGCTCAAGTACCACGTGACCATTTACCAAGATAATGTACAAGATTGTTAGTTAAAATGAAGCCGCACAGCCAGAGCTTTAAAAAACCTGAAATACACAAAAAAAATCAATAAATAAAAAAATGAGTTATGTTTGAGGAAGAAGCATAACAATTTGCTTCATGTTAATTAGTAGATATGAAAAACATTACCATTGAAATCTACCTCATGAATTTATATCCATGCTCAGGTGCCAAGGATCTCAGAAAGTAACCAACTGCGACTAGTAATAATCAGATATATAGAGATTAGAGACGCATGTGCAAACATCTAAGTGTTAGTTGCATTAAAGATGAGTTTTTCCGTATGAAACAGTATATTTTAAAATGAAATGGGGACCTTTTTTAAAGGTTGAAACCTCATTCAATTTTGTGTCTTATAGAGTTTATACTGAGTACAATATTGTATAACTCTATTAATTCAACACTATGAACCTAAAAATTACAAAAATTTTGAAAGATGCATCTTTGCTCTGGAAACTGTTATTATGTTGATGATGTTATAATGAAATGCTTCTACTAATTATGTGGATATTAAATAAATTTTTAAAAATAAAAAAACCCTGAAACCAGAGACTGGAGAGATGGCTCAGTGGTTAAGAACAGTTACTGCTCTTGCTGAGGACCCAGGTTCAGTTCCAAGCACCACATCAAGGGGCTTACGACCACCTACAACTCCATGTCCAGGGGATCTGAGGCCCTCTTCTGCACTTCATGGCACCTGCATACATGTGATACACATAAGCTAAACCAAATAAAAATAAAATAAAATGAAGCTCACCCAGTGTGCAACGTGGATGAGAGGGCTTGTGGGTTTTCAGCAGCTCTTCACTCTGCCTCATTGAACACCGTCCACTCTCTTGATTTCTCTTTGTTAGATTTCCCCAAACTATTGCTTTATTTCATTTCCTCTGCAGTTCCTTTCCAGATTAGAGGTCTTTTGTGTCTACACACATTTGAGGGTAATTCTAGGGCCTCCCACTTGGTAGGTAAGTGCAGTACCTCTAAGCCACACGCCCAGCCCTTCCCTGGGGGATTCTAAGCAGCTGATCTTCCACTGAGTTTACCCCAGTCTCCTCACTGGGGGATTCTCAGTATGCACCCTGCTGCTGAGTCATACCCCACCCTCACTGCCATGTGTGTGTGTGAGTGTGGGGAGGGGAGGGGTAGGTGCCACTTCCTAGTCATTTCCTCTAATACTGGACATGAACAATGACGTCTCACCCCAGCCAGAGAAATGCCACCTGTTCCTGGGCAGCCACCAGGAGGGGTCAGGTAGCTCCTACCTTATGCTGTGTCCCAGCATACTCTGGGCCTTTGTAGAGCAACCTGGCAGCACTTAGCCCTGAAAGAGACTTTTGTCAGTCCATTTGAACATAGAATGGGACCTCATTTTATGAGTGAGAAGCTAGAGCAAACAGAAACGTCCAGCAGGACTCACCCAGAACCATTCCATATAGAAACCAGATTAGAGCTTTAAATGCTTGTTGCACAAGCATTGGAGACTGGGTTTGCAACTTAGAACCCAATTAAAACAACCAGGCATGGCAGTGTGTGCTCATAATCTAAGCACTGGGAGGCAGAGACAGGTGGATTTCTGAAGCTCACTGGCTGGTTAGCCTAGCCTAATCAGTTCACTCTAGGTCTCAATAAAACAACATGGATTACACCAGAGGAACAATGTCCAAAGTTGACCTCTGGACTACACATGCACACACACACACACACACACACACACACACACACATATGTGTGTGTGCATGAACATGTTCACTGAGCCTGATAGTATATACAGTGTTCAAGACAGAGCCT